ATATGTTGAAATAGAAAAAAAAAAAAACACTCTTCCTATGGGCTGTTGCTTATCAGCTAGAACCAACATCATCCATCCAAACGGAGCTTTATATTGACTAGATAGTGCTAAAATTTGCTTTCCCAGAGTGGCTAAAACCAAAGTCATAAGGTGCTCTAAACTTTAGCACCAATCAGGGTCTTCCTACTGATTCAAATAGAAACAATCTTACCCCCACAGCTTCCTTGACACCAAATGAAATTCAGTTTGTACTTCTTCTAAGAGCCATCAGCCATGTAGGATTTAGAAACAAGCTTGGGATTACAACACTTGGTGATGTTAAGATACAGAATGACTTTCTCCAAGTTGTGAAACTTGCTTACTCAAAAGGATCAAGTTTTACTGTGTCAAGCAAGTGACATTCTACAATGACATGCGTGATAGTTTCCTCAAAGCCACATTTGCAGTGTGCATTTTAATCTCATAATGACATCCACACTCAAAACTAGTTGTGAACCACTCAGTTGACTTTCCAGCAAAATAAGTATAATAGAAAAATCTTAACACCCCTCCCTAACGGGACAAATAAATCCCTTGGGACCATAATAGAAAAAAGAAAAAGACATGGTCAAGTTTAGATTAAGCATAAGATAACTCACAGTTCCATGCCAGTCCCCACGATATACCTCTCCATATGATCCTGCAACACAAAGGATGCCCAAAAATGATGACATTAATCATAATACAACTAGGCATCAAAATCATCTATACAAAACAGAGCATGAAACAAACGGTATAATGCACAGGTCAATACCAAGTCCAATGCGCTCGCCCAAGGTGATTTCTTCCCATAGAATCTCACAGTCAGCAACGTCATCAAGTGCAACATCAGATTTGGCACTCTCATTACCTGCTGATTTATCTGATGTTCTCTCACCTTCTGAACTCACTCCAAAGATGTTATGTTCCCTTTCACCACTAACATGTGGCTCACAACTAGCTAAGTCTGCATCCCCATCACTGCGTGTCCCCTGCGCTGCTGCTGCACTTGTTGCCACTACAGCAGCAGCAGTAGCTGTGGCAGCAGCTGCTACAGGAAGTTCAAGATTCATGTCAGTGCCTGACTTTGCTGCAGCAACTACCATTGAAGATGCAACAACAGCAGCTGCTGCTGCAGCAGCGGCAGCAACAGGGACATTTTTGGCATACTGTGCAGGAACTGCTTCAGGCAAGGAAATAGGTGGTCCAGGTGCTTCCTTTGCCTCAATTGGATAGTTGACCCCAGAGCTTTCAACAGGTTTAAGAGGCTCAGGTTGATTATGTGGAGAGCTCACTTTAGAATGCACTCTTCGATGAGGTAGAGGAGGCAAGAAATTACCAGGCCCAAAATCAACTTGATTCTTAGTTTCATGAGTTCCACTGCCTTGTCTATTTTCATCCTTAGCTTCGATTGGAGACCTAATCTCAACCATTGATGTCTCTAACTGCTCAGGATCATGATATATTTCAGAAAACAAGTTAGGGGGAGCAATGACACCACTTTCAAGTAACACATCATGAAGTTTTTGAGCCAAATGTGGATTCTCCTTGGCAGCATCAATCATATACTGTGAGACGTCTTTCACTTTCATTCTACGCACAGCAGGGGAGCTAACACCTTCTGTCCAAGAAGGAGACCTTGCATGTGAATAAGGATAATTAGGTCTGTTTGGAAGTTCTCGTCCCGGGACCTTCTCTCTATTTGGAGGATTTTTTGAGTCATTTGAGGATCCCTTGGGTTGTTCCCCACTTTTACCAGTCTCAGTCAAACATGCAAAAGCATTAGAATCACCTCCTTCATCAGATTGGTTTCCTGCAGTAGCCAAATTTTTTAGCCTGGATCTCTTCTCCAATGAACCAAATTCTGCATGTTCTTCAAATGAACTCCCAACCCCACTGCTAGAAGAAGCTATCTGAGATGAATCCATGTCTCTAGACAAAGGACTAGCAGAAAAGAAAGAATCATCATATTCCACATGCAAGCCAGCTGCATCAGCAGGAATGAGTGTGCCAGGGTCTGCCATTAGGTCAACAATGTATTCCCTGAAATTCACACAAACAGATTATTATTCCATATCCCTATCTCCTTTCAAACTTAGAAGTACCATCCCATGTTGAATTTTGTTAAGTCTCAAACTTATTAAATAAATGTAGGAATTGGAATACCTGTCCTAAAACAGATTTATGCATGCGACATTTTGAATCTCTAAGGACGAATCTCAAATATATTAGGTAAAAAAAATTATTTGCGGAACTAAATAGTCTAGCACCAAAGGGAAGAACAACATAAAAAAAAAAAAAAAGGGAAAAATAATTTTAACGTATGTCATGTGTCTCCAACTCACATAAATTAGAGTACAGTCTGTTGCTGAGCAAACTAAGCATATGCCATTCTGATAACTACTTCCTGTCACCAAAGGTAAACTTTTACAGTAATAGAAATTACCTTCCATCATCAATCTTCACAAAGTTCATTGCCACATCATCGGAACCTGTGTATTGTTGTCCCTTCACTAAGCGGCAAGGGATGCCCACACTATCAGCCAAAACCTATATGATCACATAGAAATGCAACTTAATGATAGATGAGAAATTAGAGAAAACTAAATACTTTCAACAGTAACAGAAAACTGGCAAACAAGTATTTAACTTTTATAAAAATGTTTCAAAGATTGCTAGAAAGCACAATAACCAAGTGCGAAGAAGATGTAGAACAGCTATGCCAAATAAGAAAAAAAGGAGATTGAAATTTAACCCTCCCAAAACAAAAGAAACACAAGACTAATAATTAAATTTTAAAACAAAAAGAAAAGGAAATACAAAATAATTCAATTTATGAGCCAAAGTTATTTAAAGTAATACAGATGAAAAAACAGAAGAATGGCATAAGCATTCCTAAACGGTCATCTTAACAGCATTAAAATCCATCACATTCCCTCATCTCAAGTGAAGATCAATTTCTAACCACCCTTTTTTCTTTCTTGCTGAATTCCTAAACACTCATAGAGTAAGTAACATAATCTTTCCTTATTTGCCATACTTACCAAATACCAAACCAAGCTAATCCAAATACCAAGCACTTCCAGACAATTAAAAGACAAGTAGTCATCTACCAAAAAAAGAAAAAAAAAAAAAGGACTGCTCCAGAGAACCAGTCAGCATGCTGTCGAAAGATTTGGTCTCAGTGCTTGACTAGTAATAAACATCATAGATCAGCAGTCCTAAAAAATCAGTTTCTAAGGTTAATTTCAAAACCAAGAAACCACCAAAGACGACCTTAGCATATATCTTGGACAACTCAACTACTGGCATACCAGAGGTGAGGAGGAACAGCATATCATCAATAAATCTGCAGCACAGTGTACAATTTGCTCTTTCAAAAAATGTACAGCAAATACTGCTAAGAAGTGAGTAATATGACACTAATTTGCAATGCATGCTTTCCCAAAGAAAAGGGAATATATCCACTATGGAAAGCTTATTATGGTTTCATAAACACAAGTCATCTAAATTACATCTATGATTGCTGAGAGAATGCTTGGGAAGAGTATTGCAGTTTGGTAGCAGACTGTATGAATGCCATCTGGATTCAATGATAAGAAAACAGAGCTTCATAGTGACAGAACCACACAGGCTCAGCATATGTCTACTAGTAGATCTATAAACCAGTAGAAAAATGGTCTACAAAATAAGGGCCAGGACAATCCTACTACCATGAAGGCATTGGTTGATGTCTTAACTCTTAAATGACCATGAAAAAGTATTCTTCTTCCCCTCCCCCCACAATCCCACAAAAAGAGTGTGCTAGTAAGATACAAATATAACTGTAAACATTGGGATAATCAGTTATGTAGACACAATGTATCATTATATGAAAGGTTCAATCTAGTGCCAATCCAATTTTTAATTATATTTGGGGGGGAGGAGAACAGATGAGGTGTCAATGATCAAAGCAAGTACCTTGAACAACAATGCCCGATGACGAGCCAATCCAATTGTCAGAGATCCAAGAGGCAAAACCATGCTACCAAGGGTTTTTTTCAAACTGTAACTAAGACTTTGCCATGCACGGGACATGTTGACAGGATTCCCAACCTGTCCACCCATATACTCAGCAACTAAAATAGCAAGATTTTGCACCAAATTGGAGCTTGTGAAAGCTAGAGATTCCGATCTTGACCTGACAGCCATGTCTAGTGCTTTCTGTTCAAGGTTCAACAGATTGGAATCAGCAGCCCTATTGACCAAAACTGCTTCCCAAGAAACATTATCTGATACAGGGGTTCCTTGTAGATCTACAAGTGAAGGCATTCTTTCTGGAGTTGATTCAGTCACGACTCCATACAAATCATAAAACCCATCCAGGATCTTGTCATCATAGCTAAGAGAATTGTAATTCTGTGAAGCACGGACAAATCTACGATATGAGCTGGGTTAGAAAGGAATAAAAATATAACAAAGAAAACCTGAGAAACAAAGTTAAACTTACAAATCTCATATACACCAACAGATATTCAGGAACTCTAGATTTATAACATTGCAATAATAGGAATTACTCAAACAAACCAATGTAGACAAACACTGAACTTCTCACATGCCTCACCATGCCATGCATGCTCGATATGACCAAGTAAGACAACAGATTACTGACTTTTCACTCATTAACAGTGAGGATGAAGATGGATCTGAAACAATTCCATGATATGAACCTATACCAGTTAATGAATTAAATATAAAATTCTACACTACAGCACTCAGTGCAGTCAAAAATCTTTTTCAACAGATATTAATTTGTTATTACAATTCTCCATGTCTTGATTAAGAGAAAGAATCCTGAGGGATAAAATTTCAATATCTCTATACAGACAATGTCAATTTAGAAACCATAAGGAGAAAGTTCAATTATAAAATATTACAACTTAAGACAGGAAGCACAATGACATTATACCGTGACCTGAAGGGATGTGAGGACTTGATTCAACATTGTGAATTTCAGTTGTTAACGAAGTTAACTGACTGAGATAAGGAAAATCACATAGTGAAGTGTAGAAGATCCTCCTAGTTCTAAAGTAACACTTCCACCTGTAACTGACTAAAAGTTGACGATTAAGGACCCATATCTTCCACCAATTTTAACAGTTTGAATCAAGCTTCAATGCATCATTCTGTCAATTTTTTTACTATCCCCACCAAAAGGTCATTGTCAATGAAAAGCCACAGTCCTAACTTCCTACTCATGGAAATGATATGTAGACAGCAGATTAATAGGACCCCCTAAGTCCTAGTCCTGACAACTTTGTTGATTCGCAAATAAGCTAGGGATTAAATTAATTTCATGTTTTTATCTTTAAGAACATATTGAAAAAATAATAATAATAATGAAAAGGATCACAGGTAGCATGAGTACAACAATGACCTCTTCTCAGAAGTTTATCCCATTTTTGAGAACCTTTTTTCATCTCCTAGGGCATAACTTTACCGTCACCGTCATGCTAAAATTAGCATCAAAGGAATTACTACTGGTAACAACTTCTACGAAAACATGGCATGACCATGTGAATCTAAAAGTGTAAAAGGAAAAATGATAAAAGATAATTGACCTATTCATGAAATATATTTCTTGCAGACTGATTATTCACGTACTAGAGACAATAGATCAATAGATTTGAGATCAACAACCAAAGAAATTTTAAAATCAGGCAAAAAATTAAATATACCCTATAAGATTGTAGGGAAAAAGATAAAGAACACGACGAGATGAAATTGAACAGGTAGATTGTAGAAACAAACATACCCAATATCTATAGGCGACAATTTCAGCTGGAGTATTCTCTAGAGCACAAGATCCTAAACTAATTTGCTTTACAGCCTCAATCTGAACTGCTTCAGGATCCTCCCTTGCACTCAACTCCAAAGCCAATTGTATCTGATACTCCTCTTCTATTTCAGGATCCCTTGAGTTACTGGACTCTGAATCACGCTTCAAGTTATCCAAAGCAGGATCTACACCACTAGCACTTGCTGAATTACTTGGTTCCATTCTCTCTCCTTTCTTTACATTGGAAGAAGATGGTGGACTGGGACTTTTTTTGTGAGCAACTGAATTCAACCAATTAGAAAGACTAGATAGAGGTTGTTTATGCTCGGGATTTTGGTGAGACCTTGAATGCAAGAGTCTATCAGGGGATGATCCATGACTTGAATTATTGTCCCTTGACGAGGTTGACCCTTCTGCAGCTTCTGATTGATTAGACATGATATGAAGCCTTTTCAGAAAATTCTTCATAGTATCATAAAGGGATAGAATTCAATGCCAAAGAAGTAAAAATCCGGCCATAAACATCTCCATTGTCTCGGACCAATCATGAAACCTGGATTTACTGAATCACACAGAAAATACAGCAGCAACTTTGAAATACTTTCAAAAATCCCCCTTTTGCCAGATTGCCTTAACGGCCCACAAGCCACTCTAATCAACTTATCAAATCCGATAGCCAAAACCAGTGCTCAGTAAAAGTCCATCTAATACCGAAGACACTCAAATGCTTCAATTCAAAGATAAAACCTCCTTGTCACAGGAAAAAGAAAAAAACCCACAGATACTCAACAAACACAATCAATAATAAAAACAGCTACAAGAAACAAAACCCAGTATCTTATTACCTTGAAAGAATCAGATTTAAAACTAAAATCGAATACCTATATGAAGAAAAAGGAACTTTCTTTGGAAATAGACGTAGTAGAAGAAAGGCGTATAGAAAATAGAGTAGCTGGAGAAGAAGAAGGAAGGGTAAACAGAGGCAGAGCCAGCGAAGACCAGCAAGTGGGATTGTATTGTAGGACCTCAAAACCAAGAGTGACCCACTTCAAGGATTCACACCCCACAGGAAAAGGTCAAATTGGTGGCAAACGCTTACCAACACAGCCTTACCCGCTTTGGCCACTTTCCTTCTCTATCCCCCAAAAGTCCAAAACCCATCTCCCTTTCTCTCCCTACATTAAACTTGGAGTCCAAACACCCAACTGCAAACGAGAGTGGTGGACTGGTGGCATGCTTTTGAAATTTGTGTAGTACACAGAAAATGGAATATAGAAAGCACAAGTTGAAGGGAGAAATCATTCTTTTTCGGCTCTGTGCAGTCAGCTATTTTTTTTTTTTTTCCCTTTTTCTTTCTTTTTGGCTATTTTTCGTGGGATAGTTGGTTTTGTCGTTTGTGATAAATGCCACTTTATGGTAGCTTGACGACAAAAGTGTTTTAACCCGATCCTGTAACAAAATTTACTGTTACTTTAACTGAAATAACAGTAAATCCGCCGGCTTTGAGTTTTGGCTGCAGATGCAATTAGATTTTTGGATTTTGTACGGACAGTAAAACAGGGCCTTCTTTAGGGAGAGTGAGTCCCTGATATCACATAGTTCATCTTTTATTTTGTGGTTTTTTTTTTTATTAGATTTTTTATATTCTGAGGTCAATTTTCTGATTCTCACAAATCTTGATACAATTTTTTCTGCGGCTCTTGTCGTCCATTTTCGGTTGTCTTTTGGACCAAAACCAGGAAATTTTGGTTCTTTGGTAAAAAACTAGAATCACGTGCTTAATGCCAAGTTCTGAAATAAGCCTAGTGTTTAAATTGAGTTATGACAATTAATTCAAATTAATTTTTTAATTATTATTCTTGTAAAAAAAAAACTGAGTCACTGACACGCACACGAGGCAATGAAACTTTGGAATCATGTGTAAGTAATGTCGAATATACTTATTCACTGTATTAAAGAAATTGGTTTAGACAAGATATACTTCATTTATAAGTTGGGTTTTTGCGCTGTAAGCTGTATGAAGGACAATAGTCATTTCCTCTTTGTTATTCTTGCTTTCTGCCACATTATGAATATAAATTAGTTAACTGTGTGGAGTAACTCAATACTTGAATTCAAGTTAAAGTTAAGTTTGAGTTTTATCAAGTTTTAAAAAGTTTAACTTGACCTCATTAAGTCCATTAGGCTCATCTCCGTTTAGAAAATGAGTTTTAAAACAATTTAATATCATACACTTCCTTTAACTAATTTACTTGTTGCATTTTGATTTTACACGAAACTTTATATAATACTTTTATATAACAAGGGAATTTTAATTTAAAATATTTTTAAAAAAATATTTCACAAGTCTTTATGTGTGAGTTGTTTAAAAACTTTTGTTATAAATATAAATTCCTACTTATAAAAGAATAAAAGTATTTATTTACTTTTTATTCTAATCAAGCTACTCAAGATCAAGAGCAAACTGGAGCTCGAAGCGAGTAGAAATTAGAGTTCACTACTAGCATTTACAGCCATATACACCAGTAACACCACTACTAAGGAAGAATTGCATCCCTTCCCTTTTGGTTTTTGTATATGCCAAAAAAAAAGTTAAGACTGCCTGGTAGTTATGCAGACAACATTGGACTGTTTTTGAAATTGAAGTTGAGCGGTGTTTTCTACTCCTACCATGTGTTTGTTCCTGTTCTTTTTACTTAATCATTTTCTTTTGACATTATCTCTGCCTTTCCCATTCCTATTTGTTTCACCTAATCCTTCCTAATATATTATATTTTTTTGGGCCGATCTAAAATATATTGCACATACAACTCATATATAATAAGTTTAAATTTTTAAGGGCCTCGTAAAACTAGTTTAAATATTAAAAAAATATAATATATTTCTTTAATATATATAATAGAAGAAGTTATTGTAGTGCAAGCTATTTTTTCAAAAGTGTTTTTTAAGATTTGTTTAAAAATTAATTTTTAATAAATATTTTTAAAAGTTAAATGTTAAACTAAAAATTTTATTCATGAAAATCATACATGTCATTTTTTATTTTGATCTTACATTTATAATTTTTTTTTATCATAGAGACTCTATTATTGATACATACTTAACATTGTTAAATTTTAGGTTATCAATGAAATAATTAGGTCTACTAAAATAATCTAAAATTTGCCATATATAATTTATATAAATATAATTTCCTAACATTCTCAAGTTGTTAGGATTGGATTAGATTGTTAGAGTTGTTATGATTAGTTATTAAGATTAAATTAGGTTATTTCTATTTGTTAGGATACTTATTACATTAGTTCATATTTATTTAGTTATTATATAAAGCATATATAAAGGTTAATTCATTTAAAATAAACAACTTGCAATTCCGATTATCTTACTCTCTTGAATTTGGTGTTTCTTAACATTTGGTATTATAGAGAACATAAAAAAATTGTTAGCTACTTCAAGTTGTTGTGATAACTACAATTAAGTTGTAAAAAAATCCAGTTCTATATGAAAGAAGTAAATATATCCATGTAAAGTTTCACTGTTTGTCCAATTTGGTAGACGATAAAACTATTGATCTAATTTAGTACCGAAGTGAAGACTAAATTGCATATATTTTCACTCAAGCGTCTCAAAAAGGTAACATTGCAAAATTTAACTCCAAATTGTAGGATGACCAAAATGTCAACAGATTGATAGAAAGTTCTACTTGACACAAACGCAATTAAACTGAAGTTTTTGGAAACTTTTCAATCTAATGGAGGGAATGTTGACGAGGTACAAATCGTAATATCCCTAGATTGTTAGGATTAGGTTATTAGAATTGGTATGATTAATTAGCTGTTAGGACTAAATTAGGTTGTTCCTATTTGTTAGGATGCTAGATATATCTGGTCAGATTTATTCACTAATTATATATGTAGAGACTATATAAAACCTAGCTCATTTAATGCAAATGATATAATTATCACATAACATTATAAATTTATCATATAATCTATTATTATATAATTAACTTTTTTTAAAAAAATATACTCATAATATTATATGTATTCACTAATTTAAGAATATATCATATTTATTAAATGTCACATAATAATTATAAATTTACAATCTTACATGACATTATAACTATAAATATATTAGAATAAACAACTTGCAATTCCCATTATCTTCCTCTCTTAAATCTATTGCTAACATTCTCACCATGCTTTTTTTTACAGCACTACACTAAAAGTATTACTTTATTATAACTAAATTAATTTTAATTAATATTTCATATAATTTAATAATAATATTAGTGTATGAGAATAACGTTTTGTAATCTAAATAGTATAAAATTATAAAATATAAATTATTAAATAAGAAGAGGAACCCCAATGTTAGGAGCGTGTCTCATATTCAACAATTTTAATTGTGAAGTGTGATATAATTTAAATTGTTTAATAATTTTTTATTAATATATAACCCTCTTTTTAAAATAATTATTTAATAGTAATATTTTTTTTACAGTAAAATTCTCGAAAAACCATAAGCTGGATACTTCAAATCAATTTTAAACGCAATGAAATATATTGATTTTCTTTGAAGATTTTTCAATTTGAAATCTACAAGAGCTCAATAATTCTTTATCAAATGATCTCATATTTGGTTTTCTTTTACGTCAAATCTTATATTTGTTTGATAAATTAAAAAAAAAAAACAAAAGGTTCTCCGCTATACGGCGTGCATGTTTTCAACCATTGAAAGGACACGCGGTCGCGGATGGGTCCAAGATTTCCGCTCGGTGGGGGCAAAACTTTTACTCCTAGAAAAACAATTATTAGTGGGGACACAAGGCTTAATTTTGTCTCCGACAGTGACGTAGAAATAATTTTTTTATATAATTTTTATATATTATTAAATAAATATATATTTAATATTATAAATTTTAAATAAATAAAA